GGGGTCCTAAAAACAAATAGATTCTAGGCGGGCGAGCGAAAGCTAGTTCACCACGAACCATCCATGCACGCCCCTTTCCTCCCACGCCTGGCACCGTCATGAATCATTGAGGTGGCAAAGTAATTGTGGCAGATGTAGAATGGTAGTAGCAGCGGCCGGGGGCCATGGTAGGATGACACTTGAAAATCACTTTCCAAGATTTGAATTATATATTTTGCTTTCTTAAAAAGTTTTAGTAAGAGTTTTAAGGCAATGGCAGCACAAAAAGGTCCTAGAAGTGCCGAAAATTAGAGGTGATCTCGAAAGCAGCATACAATTAAAAGAAGGAGAAACGGTAATGTTTGTTTTTGTAGAGGTTTTACGACGGTCGCAACTGCATAATAAGGTCATATGAGCGCCAAGGGGTGGATGTCAACAGAGAATTCCTTACAGGAAATCAGGCTTACTCTGCTCACCTCTTTAGCTTCAACAGCACAAAGTCTGCTTCGACTATCAAGGCACCCCGGAAATAGCGGGTCACACGAGTGTGACAAATATACAAAAGAAGTAGAGGGAAAATGACGATAGTAAGGATTAGGAATGAAAAAGCATCAGTTCCCTGTTGCAGTTCAGACACACAGAGAGAGAGAGAGAGAGAGAGAGAGAGAGAGAGAGAGAGAGAGAGAGAGAGAGAGAGAAATGGGAAAGTACAAATAGAAATAGGGATGGATGAATTGTTATTCGGATGGATGAATAGAAAATTGGAAAGGAGGATGTATTGCAATGTATGAGGATGTTTAAAAAGATAGACTATCGAATGATCAAGCATGGATCGATTTGTGGACCTAATAGACAGGTGAATGGATGGATGGATGGATGGATGGATGTTTAGATGAATGGATGGATGAATGGATGGATGGATGGATGGATGGTTAAATGGATTGATGGATGGAGTGGAGTGAAAAGATATTAGCCATTGACTGGTGTATACGTAAGTCTATAAATGTTTTTTTGGTTTTTTTATTATCATTATTACTATTGTTGTTGTTATTGTTGTTGT